CCTGTGCAACGTCTTCTGGTGAACAGGTCGGAGACTTCGAGAATAACTATGTCCGATTCCACCACTCTCTGTCAGCCATTTTATTCTAACTTTCACATTGGATGTAAGAATGAAATGTAACATGAACAAAAGATTGTCAATTGTGCACGTGTTATCCAGTTGGTACTCTCTAGTTTCTCCTCCCCATGGACAGAATGGCAGATCTTCATATGATGGGGCTTCCTCTGTTGTTCTTGTGTTTGAAGCTGTTTCTAGATAGAAAAAATGCATAAAAACAGAGATAGTGGAAACACTTGTTGAAAATAAACTAGGGAAAGACAATAAATATTTGCATCAATAATAAAGCCGCTAAAATTAATCAATTGTGTCAAGTTCTGTTAGTATTTCAAAACTTCTTAAATACATCGCAAGGAAGACATTTTTAACATAAAGGAATTTTGAGTAATAAGAATTTCTTAAGCTCGGACGTCATTTATAATTAAAATTGTATTGATAAAACTATCACTGAAAATGATTGAGGTAAGGAAACACTAATGCAATTCATCATTTGGTATTTGTTATAAACTTAAATTCAGTTATCATTAACATTTAGTTACGCTCTCTTTTTCAAGTAAACTTTGTCGAAACGTTCCTATATTTTTTTAATGTTTCCTTATTTGTGATACAAATAAATATAGCAGTTAAACAAGTACACAGTTACTTAGCGTTTAGACAAGAAATAGCTTTTTATTAATGGAATTTCTAATGTTTATGTTTTAACATTTCATTGTTAAAGCGTTATTTACAAATGAAAAAATCAAATCAATCAATACGCCAATACTCACTTTTAACAAAATAACCCTGTTTTTTTCGCGAAGAAGTGCCCCACATCTCTTCTGCATTAAAGTCATCATAACTTTTTGTGGATGATTTCCGCTTCTTTTTTCTGCTTTGTGTGTCTGGAAATGTAGTAGCAATAGAGTTATTAGCGACTGGTTCAGCAGGAACGTTGAAATGTTATATAAAAATTTCGGTTCTTAATAAACATTCCAGTTGGTAAGAGTAAAGGTATCTTGGAAGCTACTAAAGTAACAGACAAAGTAAAATCAACTTTATGCCACTGAATATCAGACATGCACATTTTAACTAATTTAACTATACTTTTTATGCGTGTACCGGCTTTGTAATATGTTCTGCAGTAAAAAAAACTTTGTCTTCTTACAGCTCAGTGTCGCTTCCTAGGCACGGAATAAAAAGTGAGTAAATGGCTAATATAATGATAAGTTTTTTGAGGACTGGACCGTTATGGTCAAAGTCATTCAAGCGTTTAAGCGTCATATTAATGATATGTTCAATCTTGTGTTGTCTTCAAATATGACGTAAACATATTAACTAATAAGGAAGCCATGGGCAATGTTAAAGTTTATGGATGGAATGACGGACTGACATACAGACAGGCTATATGCCCTCTGGAGGTCGGGCAATCAATGATCCCAAGAGCTTTCCTCTTTGAGCATTTCGTGCTCAGGTAAGCTAAAATCTTACACTCTAAATGGTATGCAATTATTCATATGAAAACATACACACCTTTCATTTCAAACTTCTGCTCCTCCAATCTTCCATGAAGGCTAGCTGCCATTAGACGTATGAATGTTCCAACTCTGAGGTGTGACTTTTTCTGAAGGATTGTGTGTTTTACATTTCTGAACCAATTTTCTACAACGGCATTCGTGTTGTGAGATTCTGGAATCAGCATAGATGACCATAACGGAGCAATACTCAAGAGGCGATTTAAAAGGTACTGAGTGAATTCATTGTCGAAGAAGGGATTATTTGTTTCCTTACTTTCACCAATGTTGTATTTGCGATAAATCCTATTGAAGTGATTATAATAAGGTGTTTGCTTCAGCCAGCTTGATTGTGCTGAGTCATTATATTCATCAGGGTCTTCTTGAATGTCACATTCGGCATCGGGATTTTCATCTGAAATGCTGATTTCCCCTTCAGAGATTTTAACCAACTGCTCCACTTGATTCTTAGATGGTTGTTCTCTGTTTAACAATACACTGCAAACTAATTCAAAAATATCAGTCATCTCATTTAGTGTTTTACACTCAATTAAACGAGCTACAATTCCCATTAAAATCTGTTTGTTTCTTTTGGGTTTACTTTTTACAACAGACTTGATGTTATTTAGAATATGTGCACTACACATGTGCAATACACAGTTTGGTATGTTTCCTTCATACACACTTTTAAGATACTGTTCTGTTGAAGTTTTGTTAAATGTTTGAATTACAGCGTGAATTAACGCCCAGCTGTAATCCGTTTGTATCACGTTTGGAATATTATACTTTCTACTTGTGTTTTGAACTGCATAATGCCATCGTGACAGGAAATTTGCTATGTCAGGAACTGTGTGTCGGTTTGAGATGAATTCTGCAACTGGAACTGCTGGCGTGGACCCCTGGCCTTCTATAACGAGTGCATAATATAAAACTTTACCCGATTGGTCCGGTACTTTATCTATAACAGAGCCTGTAGCATCTAAAAATAAGCATGTGTGTTTTGACTTTATAGACTCAATGAATAAGTTGACTTGGGTTTCCGTAAAAAGAATGATGTTTAAAGGTTTCTTTGCATAATATTGAACGTATCCCTCGGGCATAATATTTTGTAATGTTTCATTTACAATTTCGATTTCCCGGAAAACATCACGATCCAGTAATTCATCCCGAACAATTTCATGTAGCATTTGCCTAAGCGCAGCTTTTGAAGGAATATCTGTAAAATTTCCATGTGAAGTTTGTCGATGATCAGCAGACGAATAATGTCTGTAATAAGTCTCCGTTGGTCCATGGTTCTTTATTTCTTCCTTCACCCCTTTTCGCCTTTCACCTGTTACTTGTCGGCTTCTTTTACATCCTTTCTTATGTTTCACAGTACCCGAAATTTTCACTTTCATTTTGACGGAGGCACCTTCCCTTGGATACTTTTTTATTGTGAATTCATATTTTGTACAATTATCAAACGTGCAAACAGCTTTCCCATGAAAAAATGGACTGTTTCTTTTTCGGCTCCCAGTTTTACGGACTCGATTGTGTCCGAATCGCAAAACACAATATGGATTGTATTCCTTTATTTTCTCAACGATTAACGGGATGTGGCCGATCAATGAGTTGTGGAATGGGGTCTCTTTAACAGTAATTTGACTCCATTCATTGGCATTGAAAATAAGTTTAAACTTCGACCTGATAGACGGCGAATCTGGAAAAAATAAATATATCGTCAATCGTTTGTTTGTTTCAAATATAAGCAATTTCCTCCTATATGTACGACTATAAAAACTTTTTTCTATCACAGATCTTTCTTTTATTACTAGTACTAAATTAGAAAATTGTGTCCTTAATGTACCTTTATGCTTATCAATAAATAAAGAATTGATTCGGCAAACAATTCGAACATCTTTTACCAAATGCTTTAAAGCCAGATTTATGCTAATTTTCATGATTTTTTTTTAAAAATATGTGTAAACGTATAACAATGTGAAGTGACCAAAAGGAAGCAATTTACACCTAATTAATGGCATTTACAGCTCACGTAAATTACTAAAATGAGGTAAAAATGTACACAAATAACCCTTATTGCGCCAGTAACGCAGTAGCAATATAGTCATAATATTGGAAAAATCAGTCATTTACCACATACATGTCAATAATTACTTGAATCTTTAATATTTTTACATTTCTAAAGTCTAAGAAATATTATTTAAGTTTGATTTTATTGAAATAGTTTGGCTTATCTGGAGGCATGTAGCTTAAAGTTATTCCTGTGGTCTAAGTGACTATTAATAGCTTATGTAATTGTAAGATGGAATCGAATTTAGACATTCAATGTACAGCTGTGCATCAGCATTCAGCTCCGTATTTTGCAAATGTTGAGCTGTCCATTGAACATTCAGCTCTACATTTAAAATAAAATATTCCTAAATGTAGAACTATGCAATGCCTGCGTACAATCGACATTTAGCTGTACATCTAAAATAAAATATATCTGAATGTAGTGTTATGCAATCGACCTTTACCTCTGTATTCAAAGAATGTAGAACTGTACATTGAACATTCAGTTCTACATTTAAATTATGTATTCATAAATGTAAAGCTATGCAATCGACGTTTAGCTGTGTATTCAGCGAATGTAGATCTGTCTATTTGACATCCAGGTCTACATTCAAATAAAATAGTCCCAAATGTACAGCTATGCAGCGATTGCGCGACTCTACATTCGTTTATGAAGAATTGAAAATAGATTACAAAGATCTTCACTCAGGAATATTGTATGTTGATTTATTTCACAGCTCTCGACATAAAATGTCGAATTTTGTTTGCCGATCTCATACATGTAGCTAACTTCACTCTAATTATTTTAATTTCATATGGACATTGATGTTTTTCCCAACATAAATTTATATCATCGTCTCTTAAACGAATCATTTATCAAAAACGGTTTTGAACCACGATGAGTACAGATAAGAATGGAAAAAATATCGTTTTTGACTTCGCCACATATAAGTCAAAGATACAAATATATAAGTTCCGGTTTCATTTATACGTCTCTTTGTTATTTAAAATGCACGGGATTTCAAACAGACAGCATAAAACACTTATCTGGCTAAAAGGCTGGTTCATTCTCATTTCTTTACGCCATATACTGATATTCAACCGGTTTTCTTATATAGCTGTTTTTTTAATATTCAACTATTGAGTTTGCATGTAATTTAAAATTACTGTCTGAATAAAAGTAGCAAAATGAAAAATGCTTTTGAATTAAAATGGGCATATTTTTACAGATATAATCAGAATAAACTGTATATTTTTATTCATCTGAACCCTAAAACCTGAACTAGAGAAGAAAAAAAATATATAAAAAATAGACCGATGCCGCGAAACCAGGTTTTCAATTACCACCACTGTTGAAAGTTCTGTTGTCATTTGAATATAAAGACAAGCAATGTATATTATAACTCTGTGCATTAAAACAATGACAATGACCCTATGGGACTCAAAAACAATCCCAATTGAAGCTTTCAAATACCGTAGGAATGATATACAAGTTTATTCAAAATCTCATTCTTAAATCAAATTATAGACCTGAAACAATTTTTCTATTTTAAGTAACAGTGACCTTTTAATGATCCAAGGGAACACAAAAGCAATCCCAAGCAAAATCTTCACAAAAGCTTTCTATACACCAAATAACATTGAAATATCTCATTCAAAGTCTAGTTACTAACTGGAAACCGATCTTCTATTTTTAGTAACAGTGACATTGACATTCGAGACACCAAAATCAATCATAACAGATATATTTATCTAAGCTTTCTTTACACTAAGTTTCATTGAAATATCTCATTCCAAACTCAAGGTATGACCAGAAACATATTTTCTATTTTAGTAACAGTAACCTTGACCCAGGAGGCCCATAAGCAATCGTAAGCGAGATCTTGTCATTACATTGCTATACATCAAGTTCCATTGAAATGTGTAATTCCAAACTCAAGTTATTGACCGTAACTGATTTTCTATTTTTAGTAACAATAACCTTGACCCCAAGTGGCCAAAAAGTATTCCAAAGTAAGGTCGTTTCAAATGCTTGCTATACACCAAGTTTAATTAAAATTTCTGATTCCCTTGAAAAATGAAGGAGAAGTTGCACACAGAAGGAATTGCAATATATTTTCCTAACAAGACAAAAAAAACCAAATGGCCATTATTAGGTCCAAAATTACAAAATCATAAACAATATTCGCCAGAACACTTGATGACAAAGCTTCTGTGAAAGTTTTATCAAAATCCCTGGAGAAATCATGGTAGAAGAAATTGTTTACGGCCGTCCGCCCGCCGACATACCTCAATCTAATAACCAGTTTTTTCCTTCGCAAAACCTGGTTAAGAATTAATGATATATATGTTACAGGTGTAATAAATGTGATATGCTACAAATGTGGTATAACAGAATGTGACTAGCCCGTGCACTTCTTGAAATGAATGTTGTTGGAGAAAATATAGTTTATGTAAATTCAACAGTATGATTGTTTTATGTGAAACACAATACATGTATTTATCCATTGTTTAGGCTTTTATTTATTTACCTTCATCCTGTTCAAACTCATATCTGTTGGTGGTCTCTGGTGCACTACTATATTCCCTGTCACTATGTTTGGTGTTATCGTCTGATTCAATCCTGTCACTATGTTTGGTGTTATTGTCTGATTCATTAGACTCTTCAGGAGCACATTTGTCTGATGCCGGACGTTCTTGCTGAGGATTTTGTGGCCTTGCTGTGTCACCTGCATCTGAAATAAAAGTGGCACTCAACTGTCAGTAAAGAATTTTATATTACAAAATAGAATGTGTAGTGTACGGTTTTACACCCAATCGGAGCTTTAAACGGACCTTTTTGCTTACTTTAATGACATGCAGACACAAAGAAAAGCATTCTCGGAAGTTGTACATCAAACAATCTCAATATGCCTTATTTTGTTTCCCAGCAGAGCAGTAATCCAACATCTTCTTACATATGTGACCCGGTGTTGATCTCCAACAAAAATGCTGGTGAAATATATATAATGCGTTCACAAGCTACGACAGTTGATATTCTTCCATGTTCTTTCGTTTTCTCCATTAAATCCTTCATAGGTCAGGTCCGAGGATCTGATATTAAGACTGCTAAGTTTTATATGTGTGTGTAGTTGATGTGCTTTCGACCTGAAGGAAGAAATTTTTGGGAAAAGATGGAAGGACACTTTTCTCAAAAAGCACTTATGTCTGACATATCTTTAAAGTGGATTAAATGAATGAAAAGAAGATATTTAACTCTTGCATATTGTTTCACCCAAAAAAGAAACGATTGTCTGGTACTAATTTTATCAAATGATAAGTAATATAAAGCTAGGAAGAACCCATTTTGTGTTGTTTAGGTCATTATTTTTGAAACATTCAACACATTTTAGATTCCACAGTAACTTTATGCAACTTGATACGTAATGAGACTTGCTTCGGAGCAATTTACATTTCTAGTGGCATTTGTTAAAACATCTTATTTGCTTGACATAATTGTTTTGATTGCTTTCATACTTTCCCTGACATGGACACATACGTATTGGTAGTTTCTTTGCAGGTCAAAATTAATTCTTCGAACAGGAAAGAGACATGACGAATTAATTAATGAAGTATAACCGGTTAGATTTTCATGATTTCAAAACGACGTTTCGATTGTATCAAAAAGTATAATGAAGATCAAACAATGAAGTAAAAGTTAATATTTAGAATGAGTCACAATTAATGATGAATTGTTTTTAAAACTGTTTTCACTTCTGCGAATGGCGGAGTTCATTATCACGTCAAAAAATCCCAACCCGGATTCTTAGCTATTCACACATTTCCATTTTTTATAATTTAAGAGTTTCTATTTATTCTACGTATATAAGTAATGTTATTTGTTTTTTCTCTTTAATGCACACAGTTCTTATCGGATAAACAATATTTAAGCTACTTTATCCCACAAAAACCGTCTTTGTACATGTGGTGTTGAGATTCAACATTAAGAAGTATAACTTGGATAAAGGCAATACTTGATATGAGAGTTTAACAATCAAAACTAAGTGCATGCTCCGCTTTGTTTTGTAAGCTGGCAAAAATATTGAATATGTGTCATATCGGTACATCTTTTTTGTTGTAGATGAATTAAGAACATAAAGGTTACCTTCATCCTGTTCAAACTCATATCTGTTTGTGGTCTCCGGTGCACCACTATATTCCCTGTCACTATGTTTGGTGTTATCGTCTGATTCATCCCTGTCACTATGTTTGGTGTTATCGTCTGATTCATTACACTCTTCAGGAGCACATTTGTCTGATGCCGGACGTTCTTGCTGAGGATATTGTGGCCTTGCTGTGTCACCTGCATCTGAAATAAAAGTGGTACTCAACTGTCAGTCAAGAATTATTATATAATAGGATTCGTTTGATAGAAACCAATTTATGTCCATAGACATTTCATGAAGACTCTATAGGATATCAACGTGCTTATTGTAAACACGCCGATATTAGAAGTTAATATAAAAGCCTAATTAGGAGTTTATAACTCCTACGTAGGACTTTATAACTCCTACGTAGGACTTTAAAACTCCTACGTAGAGGAACACTTATAAAGTCCTACGTAGGAGTTATAAACTCCTACGAAGGACTT